CCTCCGTTCCCTGCGTCGGGCGCCCAGACCCGCGTTGGCAACACAGCCTCAAACCTCAGCGCCTTGGAGCGCCGGGACTTTGAAGGTGCAGTTCTGACGCCTGCATATTTCCGGGGAAGAAAATAAAGCCCAGAGCGAGGAAACGCCTCCAGGGTCATCTAGGCGGTGAGGCCAGGGCTGGGGCTAAGAAACCACGTGTCCGGACCGCGGGTGGGCCTCCTCCCACCCACCAGAGGGGTTGGGTCTGGGGAAAGCGTGGGCGGAAGAGTCAGTTGCGGGTCAGGCGACAGGCCGGGTGGGGCGACGGTGAAGACGCCTGGAAGAGACCCAGAAGTAACTAACCCGCGCATCGGAGGTCAGTGCGTAAGGAGAGAACCCTAGAAAGTCGAGATGTGCGTATGAACCTTCCTTTACCTTCTTCCTAGTCCCGAAAGACGAAAGACGTCCCAGCTCAGGCGGTGATCAGCGCTCCTCCTTTGGCGGAAGCTTTGGGACTGCCTGGCTTGGATCCGGCTGAGCAGTGCGTGGCACCTTCCGGGGGCTGGGAGGGTAGAAGAGAGGCAATGAATAAGTGGCCTCTCCTAAAGCTCCGCAAAATTTTACTCCCCTCCATAGAGCCAATTACACGCAGTAAAACCTTGCATGGAACCTCTCTTCCTAGCAAAGCGTCGCCAGCAATTGCCTAGGGGTAAACCAAATACGCCTGAGATAATTACACTAAGCCCGGGACAACGATTTGCCTGCCAAGCATCCCCAGCGCCAGCCAATATTTGGATAGTGTAGTGGTTGTATGTTTGTGTTTTTAAATTACACACGGAAACTTGAAACCGACTGGTGGGTGCCAGGGTGGTTACACGATCTGTTTTTCTTGAACAGAGGTCTGCAGGCAGCTGGAGCGCGCACGCACCGGCCCCCGCTGGTGCTGCCGCGCGCCTGCAAAACTTGCCGGAATTAAATCAACCCCCGAGGAAGGAGGAGGGAGAGGGCGAGCGCACGTCCCCTGGCAGCCGGGGCTCCGCGGCCCGGCCCAGCCCCGTGGGGATTCGCCCAGAATACTCCGCGGCGGCCGCCCCCTCTTCAAAACGGGCAGGCGTCCGCCCTTCGGGGCTGCGCTCCTCTCTGCAACTAGGGCCTGACCGCCTGGCCGGCTGGCGCTTCAGGCTCTGGGAGCACTTTCTGCCCTCGCCAAGGGCACCCGGAGCGCGGGAGCGTGAGGACCCGGCGCTTCTCTCTACCGTCGCGGCTCTGTTTTGGTCCGAGCTGGGCGGTGGCTCGCCGAGACCGAAGGCGCCGGCCACGCGGCTCGCGTCCCCCCGCGCGAGGCCCATCCGGTGGCGGCCGGGTCTGTAGGTTGTAAGGAGCCCCCCGGGGAGCGCCGGGCTAACAGCTTTGCAGTGTTCAGGTTGTGGGCGCGAGGCTGATCCCGCGCGCTCCTGAAGGGCCCCTCCCCTCGCGCTGTCCCAGACCCCAAGGAGTCCACCTGCCAGACGGGAATGTCCCGGAGCTTCTCCCAGGGAGGAGGCGCTGCTTTTCCACAAGTCCGCGGAAAAGATACTCTCAAAAAGGCATCGACAAAAGATCCCTTTGCCGGTGCGGCGTGCGGGGCAAGGGCAGAAAGAGAAATTGAGCGCTCGGCACGCAGAGCTCCCACCGGCGGCCTTTTGGCGGCTCCCGGGCCTGGAAAGCGCTGTTCGCGCACCAGGTCTGTCGGGGAGAAGGGGACAGCCGGCCCCCTCGGGCTCGGGCTGTCACTGTGACTGAAGGCGTCCTCGGAATTCCTCCGTGACATCGCGAGGCCGGGAGGCCCTGCCGCTCGGCTCCTTAACCGGCCTCAGCGGACCAGAACCCCCTCCCCCCAAAAAACCTCCATTGGCGGAAGGAACTGCCCCTGTCTGGAGTGACAGCGAAAAGCATCCAACTGTGAAAGGGTCTCCTTCACTTTAGGGCACGTCAAGAAGTTGCCCCCCCC